ATTATTATAATTATTATTTTCCCAGTGGTTGCCTACAGATAGCTGTAGGCATTGAGAGATTGTGTAGATTACAGTAAATCAGAATGAAAAGGTAGATTTTGTGTAGATGCATTTGTCTGCTGTAATTTTTTATATATATTAAACTTACTGTAATTGTACAGTTCATTTCTGTTGTAAACATCATTAAACCATTTTCCAAGTGTTTTAACATGTATGCATTTGTTTGTAGTTTTTTTAAAATGTCAGGGGAAGGCTAATTCCCCTCCTCCCGCTGCATCAAACTGGGCCAGAAGATTGTCCTTTCTTTGTCTTGTCAAAGTGGAGGAGAGCCCAGGGTTTTTTTTTTGCACTCCGCTTGAAGCTTTTGTTCTACTTCTGTTTTATCAACTCCCCTCCTAAAAGAAAAAAATCCCACAGCTTCAGTTGCTTCCTGAAGGCAAAGAGAAGACTCAGCTCACACCTACGGTGAGTGTCCCTGAAACAAGCATTGGATGCTTTTTGAAATCAAGATCCATTTGTATCTAAAGGGCTTAAAGGTGATGTGTTTTCCTTAAGAATTTCTTTCCCATTGTTTAGTGGTTGGTATTCTATGACTGCCAAAACTTGCGATTTCTACATCTTGTAAATATGGTTCTCAGATTTAAAAAAAAAGCAAGCTATTTTCAGTACTCTCTCTTCTTGCATCAAGAACAAGAGTGCTTTTGCAGTAGGAACTGTGCTGTAGTTTTCAGCTCTGCTGTTTGAGATATCACCCGATTCCCTCAGATTTTTTTTCTTGTCATTGCAGGAGAACAGTAAGGGATCTAGGAGATTACTTGCAAGAAACATTCATTGCCATGCATGGGATGTCTCAGGTTTTTTTCGCACTAATTTAGTATCTTTGAAATATTCTTCAAAAGCTACAAGCACCTATTGCAGATACAGTTTTAGTGCTTAAGTTGGCACAGCCTTGTCATTTACATAGCAGCAATTTCAGCAAGTTTTTCTGCTGCTAACCCAGTCCCTTAAGAAATGAACACATCACCTCACTGGGCAGTGCCTGCAGTGCAGCTCTTGTTCCCACAGCCTTGCTTTAGCACTGCTCCCTCTGCCAGGACTGGCAGAACGAACTGGTCAGTTCCCATCCCAAATTAAAATACCCTTTGTTTTGCTGGGCTGTTTTTGTCCTTGCCGAGTTGCTTACAGGCTTCACTGCACAGTCTTGTAAGTCACTGGCAAAACTGAGGATGCAGTGGGAGGTGAGTGTCCCTTTTATACCTAGGCTTAAGCCATTTTTCCAACATCCCATCCCACCTCCCAGGATGTGTTCAGGAAGCTCCTGTCAGAGCACCGTCCTCCTTGGCGTGCCTAGGAGGTGACGCTGCTGGCTGTAAATTGGTGCAGCTGGCCCGACTGCGTCAGCTGATGAGCTTGTACCCTTCCCACAGCTGTTCACTGCACACGTGCACACACAGGTCTTCGACACTAACTTTTTATTAATTCATCAAAAATACATTACATCATTATTGAACTAGTATCTCTTTGGAATGATACCTGCATCATCTTTTAAAGGTAACCTGATGATTAGGCTGGTTTGGAAACTGCATTTACATTGGCTTTTGTACAGTTTCTTTTGCCCAGAAGTGACAGTTTTGGTCTGTTTTTGACATTAGAATTACCATACCAACTCTTACAAGGGGAGCCTGTTCTGCCATGATAGTTGTATCTGTTGCTGATGTGAAGGGCAGACGTTTCAGCCAAACGGCGTTCTCCAGGGTGAGTTTTCCTGCCTTTTCCAGGATTACTCTCTTTATCAGAGTCCATTCTCCTCATTTTCGTTGTAACAGGGGTATCTTCTGCCTTCTGAGAAGTCTCTTACGCAGGTTACCTGGCTCTTGCTTAGCTCCAGGTGCTGGATGAGTGGCAAGGCCATTGCTCAATCTTTTCTTGGAGCTTAGCGCTCATTTTCTTCATATTGAAAAGGTGGCGTTTAGCCTCTGTCCTTCTCTACAGTACCACCACATCACTTTTTTTAGATTAAAGAAAAAAGCCAGCCTCCACTGAAGCAGTTTTTAAAAGGTAAATTTCAAGCAAAAGGTTTAGCTGGCCTGTGTCAAATAGTCTTAAGATAAATACTACAGGAAATAACTACAGCCCTGTCTTTGCAATTTCTTTAAATGCAATGAAACCATAATTGCATGTCTGGATACCCCTGGAAGGCAAGTAAGAGTTACGGAAACAGCTGTGGGTAGTAGGTGTGGTCTGGTCCCACAACACAAATCTTACAAAAATCAGCCTAATAACCACTATTACTGGAAACAACTTTACAGATATGTACATTTTAATAGCTAAAGCTTGCTGTTACATGACTCAGGAGGGAAGGGAGAAGGGACTAACCAAGTCCAGACGTACTCCCTCTGTGCACCAACCCAAGTTGGTTGTTGCACTGAGAAAATACACAGTGCTTGTTTTGGATGAAAAAGGCTTTCCCTCCTCTCCTCCCCAAAGCAGGTGGGCATCTCTTACTGTTGCCCATCCCCTCGGGGACTCCCACTTAGCGGGGGGGCAACGGCTGCATTTGGAGAGCATCATAAGTGTCCTTGGTTGCTGTACTGAGGCCCTGAAAAAGAGAAAAACAGGTGAGGTACGAGTGTGAGTGCTTAGTTCTCCCTGGCTGACTGGTCAGGAACAGGGTGGCAGGGACTCAATAGTGTAATTCTAATTTTTTTTTTTCACTACAGAGGGTTTTTACTAATAAATGATTCCTTAGGCTTTGTATGGTGTCAATAGTTATCACTTACCTGAAGGCAAGATGCATCCTGAATAACTGTTATGAATGTATGACTAACTCATCCTAACTGGGTCTGCAGACCTTTAGAGTACATTTTGTTTGCATATTATTGTCTACTGAGAGCTGAATGATGCTAGAGCGAATGTTGGCTGCTAACTAAATGAATAGACATCAAATCATGGACTTTCTTCTCTGGACTTCTTCTCTTTAATTTGGAAGTCAGGTGCAACTCCGGGTAAGCTGGCAGCAGGGCTTCAGATGGCTGTGAACCCTGGGAAGCCCCCCTTACACCCCTTCCTGCAACGCTGCAGTCCCTCTCCTGCCAGCCTGCTCTGGCAGTGGTAAGTCAGCTGTAATGTTCAAGTTACAGATCCCTGCTGCAGCTGTGGGAACAGGCTGCTCCAAGAGTGAGGCAGCAGAGGACATGGTGTAGTCGCAGGTCAGCCCAGGAGGCTGCCAGAGCAGAGGTAACTGGAGCTTCCAAGAGTGAGGATTTAGTAAGGCGCCAGGTGCCTGCTTGTAGAACTTCTACCTGCCCTTCACTCCTCTGCTACGAATATTTCGTGGCATACCAAGTACACAGATAAGATAGTGCTTCTTATCAGCTGCCTGTGACTATCTCTCTCAGCAGAGCAGATTTTGAAGAAAGGTGCCATTAGCTACAAATATGCCACGTTACAGGAACACTCACTGGCATGTGCTGCACCAGAACAACTTTTTTAATATTTATTTTATTTTTGTCATTTTGAGGTGTCAGTGACAACATACAGGCTTCTACAGAAAGCAGAATGCATTTTGGAACAATTATGCTTGGCAGCCCAAATAAGGCGTAATTGCTGGATTCCTTGCCTCTGTTTTGTGTGTGCAACACCGAAACCCTCCTGACACACCAAGGACTGGAGGTGCTGACCCGGTTGTGCTCTGCACAGTGAGATGCGCTGAACCACTGATACTTTGAGTTATGACTGCAGTTTGGGAACCTGAAGGTCTCCATTTATGCATCATCTGCCACAGTCAAAAGGTGGTTTTCCAAGATGTAGGACTGTGGAAATGGGTTCTACCAAAGCAGCTACACAAGTGTTCCTGCCAGTTGTATTTAGAACGTGCAGCCACTTTATCAAAGTACCAGCAGTGTGGTCTTTGCGCTCAATCTGACTAACTGTCCTTAGAAAGGTTCTTCGAAAGCTCTGCTTTATCATGCATCGCTAACAGTGCAGTTAGGTATGTAACTACAGGCTACAATTAAGCCATGAAGATAGGCGAAGGGAACATCTCATGGATGTGTTGCTTACCTGGTAGACACCTTCGTTCCCTTTGCCTCGCCGCCTCTGCTGCTTTGGGAAAGAACAACAAGCATAGATTAATGGGTGCTTTCCCAATTATGCGAAAGAAAAGAAACCCTTGACTTCCCCCATGCTGTACTGAGGGTCAGCAGCTGTGTTTGGCCTGGGCACACTCTGCACAGGAGGGAAAGCACCTGCTAAGTCTGGACCAGCCCGGACATGCTGCAAGGGCTGTGAAGGAGAAAATAGTAAGGATTGGAAATAAAAGGAAATTATTTTGGTTTGCTGACATATTTTCCTGTCATACTGTTATAATACTGCTATTTCTTTGATTTACTGTATGTATAGAGATTTGGCAGTGTTCCTGTAGACATCAATTGTTTTATGAGCTGAAGGCACACCTGGAAGAAATGGGGCTGTATTTTTTGAGTTGCCGCATGTCAGCTGGTGTCCAAAGGACTCTGGCCCCTCTATTGGACAGACATGCATAAGTAAGTAAATTCTCCAGCACACATTTTGTAAGCTCTCTAGATGTTCAAAGGAACTGCAGATAAGGCTGTCCTGAGGACAAAGTTACACAGGATTCAGTCAAATAACTACTGGGACTGTTATGGCACCAGTAGAGCACACAAACAAGGTCACTCAGACTAGCCAGGTACAACAGAAAACCTTCTCCTTGAACCCACTTGCCGCTGCATTCCCAGGAGTACGGGGAGCAGCCAGGCAAAGCAGCCAAGTGGTGCACGAGACTGTGATTCTCAGGTGAGAACCGGGGACAGCAGAGCTTACAGCCCTCTGGATGGAGGCTGCCACACAAAGCCCGTGGCTTGTCATAACCACCCCACCGCAGCAGAGCCCTGACTGTATCACGAACACATAGCAAGGAGTAGTGCCTGCCACAGTTAAAATTGCAGCAGCCTGTTAAATGACCGTATATCTAGAATGAGGCAAGGGTTTTGGTGTTCCTGTCCCCGTCCCCCCAGTAATAGAAACATTCATAAAAACGTGGCGTGACTTTATAAAGCCACAGCTTGTAAACTGAGCTTGACTATGGCAGAGGGGCATTAGAATAAAAAAGGGGAGGGGATTAAATGTCGGTGTTGCTTTAGCATTTCTCAACACTAAACTTTGTTTTGAAATGCCCCTTTTTCCACATTTCAGAGGGAAATGAAAGGTTATATATAAGACACTTTGACATAAAATAGAACCTGTGTAGGTCACAGCAATTTTTCGTTTTGCCATAAACAGTGGGTGCAGATGGTTTGTTTTCAACACAAGCTTCCCTCCCCCAGGAGGTGGGGCACAAACTATCCGTTTGCTGCTAGCTTAAGACATGTAGCTGATGTGTTCCTTCTTAAACATTTGAGAGTGGAGCTGGAGGAAGGAGAATGTTTCCCCCCATTAATTGTCTGAAGACAGGCACAAGGAGGAGCTTGCAAATGCTGACTTGTGCCTAGAGAGCAGGCCAGCCTTGACAGCCTGTAGAGGGGAAACTGTGAACCTCCAGCTCTGAATTGCTCTGGAGGAACGTGCTCAACTACTGTGAGTTGCAGCACTTGAAACCAGACATTTCCTTCAACTATTCCTCACCCATCTGCTACCTTCTGCCTCATCAGCTCGGGCAGCCATCAGAATTTTTCTGTCCAAAAGCTGAAATGTTTTTGCTTGACGTCATTCAATCCACCCAGGGACACTGCTGGTGTACGGGCTGTGTTTCTGATACTGATGGGACAAAGCTTACTGTCTGATCTCCACCTTGTTTTATGGCTACTATAACGCTATAGCTACATGTCTTATTTACCGGTTACTACAGGCAATAGGTAACTGCTCTCAGCTGTGCCTGTAGGTGCTGTGCAACACGGGGACTTCCTCGTGCAAGGCAGCTACGTGCAGCCGGGGCTACTGCTCTGTACGGGAGCGGCAATGGAGAATTTTTGATCCCAGGCTTTCACCAGGCAGGAAGGTAGGACTCACCTCTCCCTTCATTCCAATTTCACTGTATGCCTCGCCCATCTTGTCCTTCTGCAGCGACTGTAAGCAGAGAGAGGGAAGGAGTCAGCATGTTACTAGAAAAGCCAAGCCAGCCCCTGGATGACTACACTGCAGGCCTGTGCTTCCGGGGCTGCCTTCCCTTCAAAACTTCAATATATTCCAGAGAAGAAGGGACAGTGGTGGGACTTGACTGATGTGCATTTAAGTAGATGCTATACATGATCAAATCTGCTTAGTATATCAGTACCACCTCATGTCCAAACACTTCAATGAATATAACTCTACTCTCAACCAAGTCATTTATCTAGACTGGCACCAGATACTACAATCAAAGCTCTCCAAAGAAAAGCTTTAGGCAGCATTTGCTCAGGAGACAAACCTGAACACGCAGCTCAGGCCCAGAGAAAAGGGAAGTCTAACACTGCAGGATGAAGGCTAAGAAAGAGGAGCTCTTCCTTCCTCCATCTAGGGAAGCAGTTCCCAGATGCTTATGACCAGCTGTGATCAGAGCATCTGTTTCAGTAACGATGAAGGCCAGGTTTGGAAACAAGCTTGTTTCTCAGCAAGCACTGAACACCCAGAAAGACACAAGTTAAGGCACGAGCATTAGCATTCATGTATCTGTCCTTTGGAGCACAGACCACCACATTCAGCCAGAGTTAAAGCAATTAAATCAAGAGGTTCCTAAGCAGTCACTCCTAGATGGACGGGCATTTAGCCTTTGCCAGAGAGCAGTCAGAGAGGGCGGAGAACAAGCACGTAAAGTACTGCAGCATCAGTCACATGGGACAAAGGTCGGTTAGTCACTAATGGCTAACGTAAAAGGATCAGCAGGTATCTTGAGCCAAATTCTTTTCCCCGTCTGTCCAAGCAGTCAATGTTTTTCTCCTATCATGGAGCAGTGAGCAGAAATTTTCTAGCAAAAAAAGGGAAGGTAGAAGGGATGATAAGTCTTTAAAAGCAGCTGTTAAGTTTGAACCAAAGCTGAAATTGGGTAGGCAAAAAAAAAAGTCTTCTATGAAATAGAAACTCCTGTTTCCAGCCATCCCTCCCTCTCCTCTCCCTCCAGCTCCCCCTACTCACAGTGTAGATAATGTCCTGAGGATTCTTTCTTCTCTGCTGTAAAAGAAAAGAAGAAAGTTGCCCACATGTTGCACTGCCAGCATCCCCGCCACCTTGTACATGCCTGTGCATTTGCTCTAAGGCACAGCTAGAGCTCTACGGACAGGCCATGCCCGTTACAGCCCATCTTGCCTCCACCCATAAGGCTCTGTTAAGACAACTTGTTCTCTGGAAAATTGATTTAATTTTAATAATTGATAAAACTTAGCTCTTCTCTGCTCAATCCCTACAGCTGTCACCTGAAGGCAAGCCCTACACGCTGATGCGAAAGGTTTCCCCTCCCTTTTCTTTTGAAACTGTTGGGCTCTGCAGCAGAAACAGTTGTTTTGGCTGCTGCTTTACTTTGGTGGCACTTGTTTGGCAGCATCACATGCAGCGAGCTCTCGTGAAACACCCACTCCTGCCTTGCCTGCTCCACATCCGCCCCAAGGCTGGGTGTCACTTCCTATTCTGGGTGGCTGCAGGCTCTCAGCAAAGTGACGGGGGCGGGGGGGGGCATGAGGGGCAAAGATCAAAGAGGATGGGGGAAGGTTTACTCTTGTCCCCGCCACGCTGGCAGCCGCCTGAGTTGCTGCACAGATTTTGCCATTCCCTCTCTAGGAAGGCACTTGTGCTTAGCAAACACATGATGACTGCCTGCATGTCTAAACAGCGGTTAGGCACCAGAAGGAAGGAACCAGATTAGAAGAAAAAAGTGCATGTGTGGGAGGAAGTTACCTGGTGTCTCCCGCCCAGCTCAGGGTCTGCACCTCGCTTTGCCCCCAGAACGTCATATTCATCTCTGTGTCCACGAGACAGTTTCTGAAACAAGAAAGCAAGAAGCAGTGACAGACATTATGATCGTAAGAAAATAGATCTTGACTTAAGATGGGGAAAGAAAGGGAACCCAGCTTGGTGTCCAACCTCATGAGTACTGTAAACTGAGCTAGAAATTATTTTTACCCCTTAATGCAACTGTCAACAAAAATGTGTTTGTATAAGCTATGGAAATGACAAACAGTTTCTGTGCAGCACAAAACTGCAAGCCATTGCATCAAGAACCGTTCTTAAGTAGAAATGTGTTGAAATGAGAACGCGCGAGGGGGAGGGACTCCGACTTTCATGCTTTCTCTCCCACTGGTGGGTGAAGATTCCATGAGCTTGATTTTTCTTGCAGAGCAGCTCGTCTAAATTTGCATCAAGACGCTACAGAAATTTTATGCCCAACACGTTTCTTAGCTGGGAAGTGTTACCTTGGAAGAGGGGAAAGGAGATATTTCAGGTCAGAATAACACAGGTGACTGCGCTACTGAAAAGGTGACAGGCAACACTTCTTAAACTGAAAAAAAAAACGCAATAGCGTTCATACATTACACAGTTAAACAGTAGAACTCATCACAGGATGTGGCTATGGTCAAAAGCGTGAGAGAAAAAAAAAATTAGAATCAAAAGACAACCAGACATAGCAAAAATAGCTAGAGTTTAACGTTGCCATGAGCGAGCAATTTAGCTAGGAAGGACACACGGGATCTTGTCTCTGTCCTCTTTCACTGCCTAAGGAGCCATCTGATGCTGGCTACGATCAGGGTACAGTGGATGAGGTAAACCCTCTGGTATGATCTGGTACAACAGGTATCGCTGTAGGGCAGCAGGAGAGCTTGAGAAAGGAGACAGCAGGGCTGTGATGACTCAGGCTCCGCGCGCTTGATGATATAAGAGCTACAGTCCCCCAAAGTCAGCAAGGTGACATTCCTGAGTGTTTGCCCCTTCCCCAGCCCACATCAAATAACATCAGCAAGTCGGGTGGTGGCATGGCTGTGAGTTGCTGAGGAACAGCAGTCGGTGAGAGCTGCAAGCCATGTGCAGAGGGCCGGGCGAGAAATTGGGGGTGCACGTCACATGTAACAGCCTGCACACACAGCTCTTGCAGGCGTGTTACACGGTGCAGCACACTGAGCACTGCCTCTGAAATGGGCTGCGTTCCTGGTATACCTTCAGCTCAGTGGGTCAAATCATGAACCTACGGCCCATCTATCTAGCATCCAGCCAGGTAAGTGACAACAGCGTGCCCTCATCAGATTTTATCTTTCCTCCCTACAACTGCTGTGCTGCACACTTGGGTATAGCGCATTCATTAGCTGGGTCATCCAAAGTTTTTCTGATCCACAGGCAATTCACTATCTGTAAGTGCCCCAAAAGGTTTGTCTGGGTAGCAGATTTGAAAACAAACAGAAACCAGTAGTTACTTACGTTATAGACATCATCCTGGCCTGGTTGCAGCTGTGGTTCAGAGGCTTGGCTAAGCTGGAAAAGAGACCATACCGTGAGCAGAGAGAAAGCGACTCCATTCAGTCCTTTCGTTCCCTGTCTCCTACAAGTCACTGTCATCAGAAACAGGGCAACCCATAAGCAGCCACCCATGGCACCAAAGGGGCTACAGGTAATACAAGCCACTACTGCACTGGTGCTTTTATCCGCACGCCAGGTTGCCTTCAGCAGCCAGGTCATTTTACTTGCACATTGACACCCATTCACAGGTACTGAAAGCATCTGGTGGTTTTGGTTTTTTCCCCCTCCCACCAATTTTGCATTCCTGTTCTGTGCATATCATAATCCTGTGCTATCAAAAGTAGCTCCATCAGGCTATAAAACCATAATTGCAGCCTGTATTAAGAAAAACTGGATATCTGGGGCTGCTAACAACCAAAACCACTCCCTGAGACCCCACTCCTCCAGCAAAAGCTCTGCCTGCAAAGTTCCTAGGTGTTGCCAGCTTCAGAGGGCGCAGGGGATCCCTGCACCCCTCGGGAGCAGCACCTGGCTTTCAGGGCTGCGGTGCCACCTGGGCAAGTTGCCATGAGTGACAACTAACAGGTGGGTAAAGGATTTCCCTTCTGTAGCTTAAGACGGGCTCTGGGTAGGGGAGGAAGAGCTGCTGGGCAAGTGCACGGCGGCTGCAGCAGCTCCCTGTGCCAGGTTCCTTCTTGGATGCTGTGCTGAGGTGCACAGCTCCCACCGGCCGGTACCGTGCATGCACCAGTGGCTCATCCCTCTAAGTTCCCGAGCAGAGCTTTCATCTGCACTTGGGATTTACACTGGCAACAAAAAAGTTTTCCCCTTCGCCATTACCGAGTTCTGCTTATTTCTTCTAAACATCCTCTCTCCCTCTGGGTTCAGCGCTGGCTTTGCAGTCCTGAGAGATCCCACTGCAGAGCCAGCGGGGCACCTGCAGCAGCGCAAGGCTCCTGCTGATGATCTCGGCCCCGACCTGGCGAGAAGCAAGCCGAGATCCCGAGCGCAGCAAGCCTTTGCTTCTGGGGGGAGGCTGAGCCAGATGTACAGACAGCGGCCAAGACACCTTTTCACCTGCTCAGGCTTGGCTGAAAGCGCCACTGCATTGGACTGCCCTGTGCCGAGGAGAGGCAGACAGCTCCTCTCCTGTGATTAGCAGCGCTCTCGGGGCATGTACGGATCTGAAAATGCACATACCTCCATCAAATTACGTTATTTTCTTCCGTGGAAGTGAACTAAAACCATTATTTGCCTCCCTAGATGCTGAACAGCTGCTGGATGGTAACAACAGCCCATCAAGTTGTGTCCATCCTGTCCCCCTGACTCCTCTCCGGTGGTTGTTGGGGTTACATCTTTTGTATCATCGCACTCGTGCTATCAAAGATGTCTGACTTCTTGAGACATTTTAATACATCCTTCACAAGCTTAGCATTTATCCTGAATTTTCTGCATATCCTTTCCTCTCTTTCCAATGAGAAAGCAGCAGAAGAAACCACATCACTGTTGATGTGGCATTTCCCAGCTACAATATCCAGAACCTCTGACTGCATCCAGAACTGTAGCATCAAAACACTTTCTTCCCCTCCATTCATGAACCTGCAGAGAGAATTCCCCCAGACTGCTTAGGCTGGCACCAGGAAAGTAAAAAAAAAAAAAAAAAAAAAAAAAAAAAGACATTCTAAAAGACATACTTCCTCTCTACCCCCACTTTCCAGCTCAGCCCAACTTGTTTACACCACCAAAGCCAAATACATCAGTGTTTGGATAGACTGACCTTTGCTTTCACAAAAAGGGCTGTCACGATGACGGCATAAATGAAGAGGAATCCATCCAGTAAGTAGCAGAGTCTTGGGTCTGTCAGTCCAAGAATTTGTACAGCATCTGTACAGAAACATCAGATATATCAACAAACAAGGTCATTTGTTTCACTGGGTGCTTGATGGCATAAATGCAGCAATGCTGCATAGCACTTCATGAATAAATAGCCAGTATGAGGGCAAGTCTGTCCACTTGCAAAGGAAACAGAAATTTGAATAAGAATCATGGGATTAATTAAGTCAGAAGGGACTACCACAGGTCCAACCCTCTCTCTGAACAGGGTCAGTTAGACCAGGCTGCCCAGGACCTCAGCCAGCTGAGTTAGGGTATCTCCAAGGATGGAAAAATTTGCAACCTCCTTCAACCAATACAGGACATTTTACCCAGAGTTTCCCACCTGCAGAGCCCAGGCTGTGCTCCCCACAGCTCGCAGGCACGGATCAGGGAGTGAGCACAGGCGTGGAGATAACCAAGGGTCACTAACACCGTGGTTACTACAAGCAAGCCTCACACAGAGCATTTGTTTTCTGGGAAAACCCAGCACCATATCCTGCAGGGATTCATTATTGAGCCTGGTTAGGGATTCCTACATCAACTAAAACTTGTGTGTATGAGAAAATACATCTGTTTGGACAAAATTTTAGGGAAGGGCTTCTCAGAACAAAATTTTGTGTTAAATGTAAAGAAAGACTGACACCACCATAGCCAGCTGGAGATCCAGGCTGAAGTCACTATTCTACTCAGAAGAGGAATTTGAAGATGCGTCTCCCCTATCCCAGGTTATATATTGTAACCATAAAGCTGCAGTGTCTTCTCTGTGAGGGTTCTCTTGGGCTCCCAGTTTGGGGATGTTGGAGACCATTAATCATGAGAAGGGAACCATGGGCAGGAGAGACAGGCTTTTAACCCCAGATGTCAGGACGCGTCTGTGAGATACCCATGAGACACCCTGGTGTGCTTCCACTTCTAGAGGAAGGTCTTAAACCGGAATTCCCCACACAGGAACCTCAACTGCCTGTCTCTTGTTGGCTAGATCACCCTCAGAAGTTTTTTTGTTTTGTTTTTAAAAGAAGTGTGAAAACTTTTCCGAGGGAGAAAAATCTACTACTACCCTAATTGAGAGCTCAATAAAATTGTTACTCAGAAGATGTTGACATTCATTTCCTAATCAACATTGCATATATTTATACTCTGACTGCATCAAAGCAGGGCACAGCAATATTGTCGGTTTTCGGCAGCTAAAACTAATGAAACTGCCCCTGTATCGGTTTGTAAACAAGTAGTAAGTTTACAAATATAGTTTAAAAAACCCAAAACCAAACCAAAACAATTCAGGTCAAGAAGCCTAAGTAACTATAGATCCAATATGCAGCTCCAGGTCCATTCCTAAAGGAAAAGCTGTATTACATGGTTACTAAAAAAAAAAAAAAAAAAAAAAAGTCACTTAAAAAAAATGAATGAGATGTACTTTGTATAAAGAATTGGAGGGAGTTCAAAAGAGAAAGACAAGAATGATCAAAAGCCTGTGGAGACCTTCAATGAAGATAAATTGAAAAGAATTGGTATGATTCATCTCCTTCCTAAGGTGAACAAAGTAGGGCAATTTTCATTAACCACATGTGCCGGAGGGTAGCCGAGCCACTCAGTGCAGCACTCCCAGGTGCGGAGTTGCTCCAGTGCCAAGAGCAGGACCATTCTGCACACTGGGGTTTCTCCCTGGCCCATCAGGCCACGCTGATGATTTCATTAGAAGAAACTTGCAGAAGACATTCAAGGCAGTACACACTCACCACCATGAAGTAGTCACTCTCGCAGAAATAAAGTTGTTGATGATGGCCTGTCGCACTGCTCAAGTGTGCAACTTATATAAAGTGTGACTGAAAAGCTGTGCCCGGATACTTGGTAATGTAACTGTAAATTCTCAAGCAGATGATGATAGAATCACTGTTCCCACTGAAAGCCTAACACAGCCAGAAAAAAACACAAAATTTCCAAACAGTAGATTTGTTTGCTTTTCTGAACTAGGAAACTAGGAGTTCACATTCCTTTTTTTTTTATTTTTTAATTCATGTAGAAACAAATCCATAGAAATAAATTAAGATCCTAGATGGTTCTCCTCCTTCCCCTCCTATTTCTATTATTTTAAAAATAAGGTTCAAAGCACTTTATAAACAACAACCTTCACCACATTTCTTTCAGATACATGAGATAAATGAGACAGAGAGATTAAGTTATTTGCCCAACATTGTATATTAAACCAACAAACAAGCTGAGATTACCTTCCTAGTTTTTCTTCTAAACAGTCATAGGACAATATTTTACACCAGAGTTGGTTCAACACAAAACCAGCTTGAATGGCATTAGACTTAGTAGCTAAAATGCAGCATTGGGGAATACAGCTGTACAGCATCCGGAGGCAATTTGTTTCCAGCAGTAATTCAGCTGCTTTCCTGCAGTGCAGCAGCCTGCCCCAGCATACCCTGGCCTCAAGCTGGATGTGTCCAGAAGCAGCTCAGGGTTTTCCAGCACTGCGCCCAGATCAGAAATACTGCATAAAGAAGGTGAGCAGCCCAGCACAGAGCCAGGAAGCCTGGGGATATCTGAGACACTGCTGAAGGTGGTTTTGGGGATCCTGGCCCTGACTCCCCTTTTCCTGTATCAAAGCAGGGCACGTTCACACTGTCATCTCAAGTCCAGTATTTCTCCAGCACTAATAAAGTCCCCAGCCCAGGAGGAGCTCAAGCAGGAGACATCAAGGACTACAGAGAAGTCAATAGTGCAGGGGACTAAGCTGTAGCTCTGTGTCAGCCATGGTCAACCTTGGCTGACTCTGCGGAGCTACCCAAGTGCCTGCGTGGTGCTTCTCCAGGGCAGCTTGGCCTCCAGCACCTCAGATAATGGATTAAATCTGCTCAATGAGGGAAATCCTGCTAGACATAGTCTGGCTGTGATGGTTCCTGGAAAAATACGTATTGAGACAACGATAAAGTCCAATGTTTAGAAACAAACCAAGAAAACGAATTAAATCTTGTCCTGTCCTTCCTTAATATGTTTGATTTCTGTATGAATTAATTCTTGTCTTGTCCTTCCTTAATATGTTTGATTTCTGTATTCTTTCCAAAAAAAAAAAAGGCACAAAGCACTTTCTAAATAATAACCTTTGCAAGCTTTCCGGATTAGAAAATGAGAGAAAAAAAAAACCCAAAAGACACAAAACCTATTGAAACAAAGGTCAAAGAGATACGAAGTGTAATAAACAAGTAGCAGTTAAAAGAGTTAGCATCCACGCACATGAACAGGACCAGTTGAGGTTTATAAATCGCTAGAGGAGGGGCTACTGCCTCTTCAATATTCGCACAACACGCACAAACAGAAGACCAGTCCCTTAGGCACCACCAAAATGTACTCTCTGCCCCTCATCAGCCCTGAGCTGTGGTTTAGGGGGCTGAGGCCAAGGTCGCACTGCTGCAGTGGATGGGCTGATGATGGGAGCCAGGCAAAGCCGAGCCTGCCAGGCTTGAGGGAGCAGTCGCATTCAGCCGCCTCACGCAGAGCAAAGCACAAATAATAAATGTTTCACTGATAATTCCCACTCTGTTAACCTTACAGATTACCCAGTACCTACTGAGTTGCACAGCAGCTTTTCAATATTCATAACCCAGTATTTTACCAGTGCCAGTTTCAACAGTCCAGTAAAGTACAGCAGGATTTTAAAGCAAGATGCCTAAATACAGGCAGGCGGCACAGCTAATATCAAGTCACAGGCTGGTGGGGAATACAGTTATGTTGCATTGTAAATAATGTCAAGCTTACTGCTTAAATGTGGCTCAGACAAACAGCATCTCTCCAGGCATCAAAAAGGAGTTGAGTCACAAGTCGACATCTAGGTATGAGGTCAAAGTGGTGCTTTTGCTTGGCAAGGATGCAAGCTCTGAAGGAATAACAATTAGAAAGTTGGCACTTATGCTTGCTCACCACGTGCTCCTAAGCAAGCAGCTGCACAGTTAGATCTCCCGTTGCACAGCGGGGATGACATTTACTCGTAGACCACAGGGCTGTTAAGGAAAGCCAGAAACAAACTACGCAACTTACAGCATTAGGTAATCACTTGTTATTTTAGGAATTTGTACAGAAGTTATGGAAAGCTTTGTACAAGGAGCTAACACAGGCCGAGTAAGGACTGGCAGAACCATAGCAGGTGAGGTGGCAGGAAAGGAGATGGAGTCAGTAAGGGGTGCAATTGCTGCATTTCATGACAAAGTTTCCAGCCCTTCTCAATCCCAAACCCCACATGCCTGCCACCACATTTGGGACTGTATCCCAAGCTGCGCTTCTGCCACTGAGAAGTTTCTTCCCAGCACTGCCTCCTTCCAAAGCCTGGACTTTTGTTCCCCTCCTCTTCTCTCCCCCCACCCAGCGATGCAGCCCTGCCCTCCTCTACGCCCAGGCACTCTCTCCTGCCATGGCAGGCTGGTGCAGACACATGCCTGCACCCCAGCCTCGCACCCCTCCCTCATCCCCCTCCGCTCTCATGCCCCCAGAGTGGCACTGCCAGCGTCCCTGCAACAACCCCCTGTGGCCTTTTACTTTTTTAAGTAGCAATGAGAAGGAAAAAAAAAAAAAAAAAAGGCAATTCACATCAACTGCTAGTGACAAAGCGAGTGAGAAAAAACCCTCTAGCAACAGACCGACAGCAACCCTGGTAGCCAAAGGAGAGGAAGCCCGGGGGCTGATGAGGGAGGCCATGCTGCGGGCGCCCGCCTTGAGAGCGCTGCGGCAGCCCGCCATGTGCGG